TATCATGAGGTGGACAACCCCCCAACCCTGACTCAGAGCAGCAGCATTTGCATATTTTATTTTCTTCAGTTAGCAAGAGGGATTTATATGGATTACAGAAATACAAGTAAGCACTGTATATCGGGTGCATATTTGTCACACATCCAGGTTATGACTAGGCGGTAAAGACGGTGGTGCAGGTGCGGGCCAGATGGTCAGTTGCCTTATCCAGTTTCATCCTGGGATGAAACTCAGGTTTTCACATTTACTAAAAAAAGAAAAGGAAGCATATTAGTTGAAAAACTATTCTGCAACTTAATATGGATGTATAAACTTTCACAGACCACAGAGTTATATCATGAGAAAAACAATGGGCGTTGAGTCCCAGAGCCCTTAAACTCAAGTTGCTCTTCCAGTCATTAAGTTAATTAGGACATCTCTTGGCTTAATGAGACCCAACAGGCTGCGACTGTGTGCACTCAAAAACAAAGTGCAGTTAAGTATTTGCTTGAACTGAAGTGAAAAGGCAAAAAATCATTTAACTGACTGGCCCTTCATGTATTCAAATAGACAGCACTGCAAAAGACAAATACTAGTCCCTCTCTTTACAAGTCACTAAAAAGTAATAATCACTGATGTTTTATCTTATCAGAATCCTTTATTTTATTTAGGTACAATAAATGTACATTTATTTGTCTTGTTGCGCGTCGACAAATCACACACTGACATACATTATATATGTATACATATGGTACATATAGACATACGGATTTCACGTTTTGTACAAGCAACAAGGGACAAGGCATATAATAGACTACGCATCACTCTACAGATACACACAGAAATCTGAGGCATGCAGTTGGTTACAGCTGGCGGCTGGAGGCCACCCGTGCAAATAAAGAAACGTCATGAAATGTAGATTTGACTGATGCAAATGTGATTAATGTGCTCTGATCTTTGTGTAGCGTTGACATAATTCCTAAAGGTTAAAGTGCCGCTGTGTATAAAGACTATTGTTGGCATTTTAAATAGTGCAGTATTGTGCAAACATGGACGGTAATAACATCAGTGATTACAGTCAGATTGTGCTAACAGAGCTAAATAATATATTGTGATGGAATAAAAAAGCAACAGCAGCAGGGGGACGAATCAGCCCTGCGCAACTACACATGGGGTAATAAAAAGGTGAGGTTAAGGTTTAAAGGTCAGATTTGGGACACTCACTGGCCAGGTTGACAATGCAGGCGATGATAATGACCGTCCCTCCTACTAGTGACACCATCGAGAGCATCTTGGCAACACGTCCCAGGCGCACGGCGCCATCCAGGTTTCCCTGCTCAAGACTGTTCTTGGACTGAAGGAGAAGATTGAACCATCTGTTAACTTTGGTTTGATAATGATACTTAGTACTAAATAATAATGATGATACTAAACTACGGTTATACAAAATATAAAAAAAAAGAAGACAAAAGAAGCCAGACAAAGGATCCTGTTCTTACCATGATAGAGTAGACGAATCCCACTATGTTGATGGGCCAGACGGGGCAGAAGCAGGCAAGCACAGACAGGAAGAGGTAGTCTTTAACTTTGGTCCGGTCCAAAGGTGGGTTGGTAGCAATGCTGGAGTGGCGAGAAAGCGACGGCCTGGGCGAGAAGGCGGTGTAGGCGATGGAACTCGCTCTGCTCCCCTTCCTGGTCTTGCTGTGATGGGGGTAAGAGATGGAGTGTTGCCTTCTGGGAGGAGAGGAGATGACGGGAGAGGTGTTCTCTACAGGCGCTGCGTGGATCCCATTACCTACACATTTGGGACGAAAAAGGCAAGGGCAAATGTTTGATACACTGGAAAGAGGCAAATGTGTGAATGCTCTCCCAGGAGCTCCTTCGTGCACTGGAATCTGACTTTCCCTGAGTGAGCTGACTAAGCGGTTGTATGGACTGCCCTTAATCAGAGGTCAACGTCAGTCACTTACTGTTCTTGAGCTTCTCGTTGATGACTATGACTAGCTCTCCTTTGGATTTGCTGCGAGGCGCCCTTGTGCTGGCCGGGCTGCCGCTGCTGTGGATGAGTTCTTCACCTCTGACTGGTGGGCATGGCTCAGAGACAGGAGCTTGGCTCAACAGAGCGCCCTCCTGGTCCAGCAGTGATGGTTGTTCCTCCCCTGGCCAAATGGCGGGACATGGCATCATGTTCACAGCCATGCTGACATCAAAATGAAGCCTCTGCGTGTGGTCCAGTCCTGTGTTTACTGCCTGTAGTTACACCTGAGGGCCAGAAAATGGTTTTCACGGTCTTTGTTAACAGAAGCTGCTCTCTCCCATCTGCTTAGGGATTGTACAAAATTCTTTGGGGGGGGGGGGGGGGGGGGATTGAAAAGGAAGAGGATTGTTATTTCTTTTTTGGGATAAGAGGAGAGGGCCCTTTGACTTTTTCAAACCCAAAGTTAGATTTTATTTCATTCTAAACAAAAGAAAATAAACATCAAATATCTACATAAAAAAGATGAATTGTGTGTGCCATAATAGGACAACAAGTCTTTATCAGGGGTTTATTCTCCTCATAAAAATCAACAAGGATCTAATAAGCTTAATGTGTAGTGTTGGGAAACCGAATAGACAAGGAACCTTTGTTTCTAGAAAGCGAGCTATATTTCACTAGTAGCTCATATTTATTCAGCATCTCAAAAGAAAGCAGTTTAATATGTATAACAATGTTAAAGGTGGGGTATTCGATTCTGGAGAAATCCAGTACCATGACAAATACCATGTTACAGAGCAAACAAAGACACAGCAAGTAAGGTAACCAATGTTTGCTAGGTTGTGGGCTACCAAACTGTTGCTGCTAAGCCAGCACACCATTAGCAGGCAGATTTTCTTTAAGCGTGCACACAGAACGGACAGCTAGCAGACCGTGAGGAGATATTTGCTGAATCTGACAAAAACAATGTGTACTAAATTAGAATCGCCTAACCCACCTTTAAGTCAGAGCTCTTGGTTCAAAAATATTTTGGGGTACATCATTGTGTTATGTTTTCATATTCTATTGTTTGATTCGAGTGCCATGTGAAATGTATTATTTATTCCATTAAAGTGGGAACTTCACTTATTTTATACATCAAAGTTTTTATTGTGTTTTCTTTTAAACAGATCTTGGGTAGTACTAATGTACACGTGAAAAAAAACTGTTTAAAGATATTTGTGGCTCCTGAGGGAGCTGTGCAAACTCTACATTGGCTGCTACTAGCATAACACCAGAATCTGACTGAACTGTAGGTGAATTCTGGGTAAAGTAGGAGCCAGAGTTCCAAAAGGAATAAAAAACAGACAATATTTCTGGTTGTGCTTCAACTTCGATCACTTAACTGTCAAACATGATTCTGACAGTTACAGGAGTGCAATGGTAAATTGGGATTAAATTAAAATATATCACCTGAAATTCTTCATTGATAAGTTGTACAGTGCAGGGGACATTAAGAGATATTGGTGGGGAGGGCCAAGGGTCTCACTCTAATAGGAAATCAGGTCGGCTGAGTCAGTGAACTCTTTTAAGTCCCTTCTTAAAACATACTTTTATAGGAGAGCCTTTCCCGATCTTATTTGACTTTATTTTATCCCTTTTATTTTATTGTATTTTACTAATTTTATATTCATCTTAAACGTTTTCATGCTTTTATCTTGTATTGTTTTTGTATTGTTGTTTTTTGGGAATTATTATCTTTATACTTAAAGCACTTTGTAACTTGTTTTTGAAAAGTGCTCTACAAATAAAGATTATTATGATAACTTCCATACAGTCCCTAAATACATTCTGCTTTAGCCGATTTAGTTTGGATACAGGCTCGATATCATGATATCCTCTTTATAATACACTGACTTCTGATAGTATTAATCCTTTTTTTGGTTCGCTCACGGTAAACCGATAAAACACGAATGTCCCACTGTAAGTCAGACCTCATGTGAGGACATATTTAAATAGCAGACCTGTTCTCTCAGGTAATAAAAAAAAGCAGGTCACAACGACATGAGGAGTACAAAGGCACGGCAGATGCTATCAGGTTCATGTGGAAACGATAGTAGCGGTCATAGTCGCCGTGCAGGTGTGTACATATCCTTCATGTGTAGCGTTAACTGGGTGGTTGTTGGCACAGAGCACAAAGGTAAAAGGATGAAGACAAAGGACAAATGCGGGGGGGGGGGGGGGGGGGGTACATTAATTAGCCTGCTGCTAATTTGAAGTCAGTGGAGGTAGACTGCTACATAAGCGCGGGGGGGGGGGGGGGGGGGTGCTTGTATTGAATTCATGCATTTATAGCTAACTCATTGCATTGGAATACAATTCAGTGATTGACAATTCTGCATCACACACGAATACAGTCAAAAACAAAAAGGTGGCTATGAGCATTAATCAAACTGACCTTTTTTTAATCCAGCGCCTGTCTCAACACAGTCGGAGCGCCTCTGGCTTTGCCATCATGGAAACGTTATTCTCAAGGTATAAAAATCAGCATCACACGCGACCGATCATCTCTACATGCGCGACGTGTTTGCAAACGTGCACACTTGTCTAAAATCCAAGAATGTCTTTATTTTATGTGAAGGCTGCAGGAGCGACTGTAGCGCCTTGTTCCAGCGCAGTGTGCTGGGATGGATGGGGAGTCTCCAGGGTGGATCACAGGGAGGAGGGGGTGGGGGGGTGGGGCAGTTTGTGTAATGAAAAGTGAAATCAACTAGACTACGTGATGTGGGGGGCGGGGGGGCGTCCTCCTCCCCTCGCCTCCCAAAAAAATAGCTCATAACAGGGAATATTTATCCACAGAAGGAGCATGTCTGTGATAAAAATGTGTCGTCCTGTCCCTACCTCGCAGAAGACAACTGATCACAATTAGTGCCTCTGGTTTGAAAACCTAATTACTCCCCAGAGAAGGTGATTGATCCGAGATATGTATTCAGGGTAAGTAACAGTTGAGCCATTTGTGAAAGTGACCAGCAGATTCATTTATGATCATGAAATAAACACTCAAATATTCATTGTCATGAGAGACATTTACTAAAAAGTCACACTGCGCCATCAGCTGGAAGACAGTAGTAACTACAAAAATATCACAAAATCAAGCATAAAAGACAGATAAAAATCATATACATTACACATTGGTATAATAAAAAAATAAAAATCATTTCCCCATGGCACTCAGGATGTTTGCCTGAAAAAAAAACAAAAAACACATTAGCGCAGAGTTAAAAGCAAGACCCTCTCTAAAGCTACATAATGTGCTAATACAAGCCATCCTCCTGCCTGAACAAGAGCCTACAGACACGCTGCAGACACAATGGAGCTTTAAGCTAAATGCTAACATTTGCTACTTATCAAATATAAACTGCTAAGGCTGATGGGAATATCAACAGTTTTCTGACCTGATGATGGCGCTAGATTAAAAGTCACAGGATCTCTAAAGATACAGTGGAAAACATCTGTCTCAAACTAATTTCATGGCTAATAGTTTGAGATATTTTAATGAAGACCACAAATGTCAACCTTGTGGTGACCCATTCTGCTAACATGGCTACAAAAGTACAAATATTTCAGAAAATGTGGCTTACCTTCATGAAGGAGGAAAACCTCTTTTCTGTCATACCCTCAACTTTTCCCAGATCTTCTAACTGCAAAACAAATCATACATAAAGTCACCACAAGTAAAGCCTCTCCAGAAAGGACAAGGTATGGTTGTGTGGGTTGAGTTACATGCTAAAACATGATCTCAGCGCGACGTTTTCTCTAACAACCTTTGTGAAGTGACCATGGATCTCTCTCCAGCCCAAGATGAGCTTTGCCTTCTTGTCACCGATCTGCTGCAGACCCTTCAGCTCTTTGAGGGAGCCGGTGTTGAGAACCTGCAGGATTTTTATGTCTGGACTGCTCCAGCACCGATGTGTCGAGTTGGGACTCCCAGCCATTCGTATTAATGTTCTCTTTACCATCTGGAGGCTGAGAGAGAAATACAATATAAAAGTTTTAAAAGAAAAGATGATCTGACCATTTGTGGCATTTTACACAATTATAGAAAATATAAAGTACATGAAATTCCATTTTAACTGTTAACATCCATTTGTCCATACTGGCCTGAGAAGGAGGCCAATTTTGACCTAATAAATGTGAGATCTTGCAGTGTCTGTAGTAAAAACAAATTGAAGCTAATGCACGTCAGCTCGTTTCTGATGCTTGCAATTCTGCAGATGTGTCAAGCTAAGCACAGCCCAGGCAAGGCTCGGATGCTGACCTCAACCTGGTCTGGAAGCTTTTCTTTTTTGACGCAGACGGACTGTTTTTTGACGATCGCAAGCTGCTGAAGTGGCTGGAGCTGGGACACTGGTTGGAAGGAAACACAATGTTAACTGAAGTGCATTTAATGATACAAATTACAACAATGTCTTTACAGGGAAATATTCTCAAATTTTGAATTGAAACGGTCCAAAGTTTTTATATTTTGGGTTTTAGTGCCATTTCAAAGCCAAACGCATGAGACAGGTACTGGGGAGTAATCTGGCTCACTCAAACTGCAGAGGGGTGTAAAAATAATTCCACCTCATCGTCATTTGATATATTCTGACTCCGGTATTGTAGACTGAGTTCTTGTATCACATTGCAGCTCATCAACAGCTCCAGTGATTCAACATGACAGAATTAGTGAGTGACTACTCTTTAGGAAAGCATGAAAATCGGGGGGGGGGGGGGGGGGGGGGTTATCCAAGGTCATCCCCCCCCACTTTCTCATTCAACAGCAATTTAAACACTGCAGTATCTGATACTTCTATAGTCTTAATATGGTGGTTCTTTGCATTCTTTTCCACTGGATTATAGGAGTCTAACATTGCAATCATTTTGTTAGACTGTCAGCTAAATTCTAAATTCCTACAACTTTAACTTAAATGTGAATAAGTAAGAAATCACACAACAAGCATTTCTGACTGACCTTGAAGGGGTTGGACCACAGCCTGCTGCTTATTGGGTTTTGTGGCAATTGAGTGTTTTCTATGCAGGGGAGCCAGGTTGTTCTTGAAGTCAGGCTCCTGTTTGGCACCAGGCTTTCCTCCAGCCAGGCGGCTGAATAGCATTGCCTTGCTTTCAAACTCCTTCTGCTTTTCTTTGAGCTCCTGGGGGTGGGGGGGGGGGGGGTAGGGGAAATAAAGAAAATAGTTGTGACATTGGCTCAAATATCCATGAAGAGTTAATCAATCGGTATAAAGATCCAACCTTAACAGCATCGGGCAAATCACATACAGAAGACACAAAAAAGGGTGTTTCCATCAGTCCAGGATTCTTGCATCTTTGATAGAAAAGAGACACGCGTTTGATCCCTTAATGAACGACGCAATGTCATATTTGGCAGTTTTATTTTCACCGCAGGTGAATGACTTTGCATATCCTGAATCGGGGAACATAGAGGCCGTTTACACCTGGCATTAAAATGTATTTTGGGTGATCAGACTGTGATCGGGTAGCACTTGACCACATGAAAGTACATGTGTAAATGCACCGAGACACAGGACAGATTGTGATCCAATCAGCGAAACGACCTCTGGAGGTGGTCAGGGACACCGTGACCGCATGGATGCAAATGCGTTGTCTATCCACATACAACAACTACTTGGGCAGAAATATCTACTGGTCACAGTCTTCTGCAAATAAAATCCAAAAGTCTGACAGTGCAGACAGGAGCCTAGACAGCGTGTCCAGTCAGTGTTGTGCTCAAACAGTGCCAATTATTGATCATGCTCAGGTTTTTGGTGATCTGATTTGGTCAACTGATCGTGTTCGTTTGTGAACGTGAACTAGGGCTGGGCAATAAATCAATAATGGTAATTATTGTAATTTGAATCACAAATGAATTAACTCTTTTCTATCAAGATATTTATTCTGTTGAGGAAAAGGGACTGAAATGCATTTTTCCACTTGCACCATCTGGTTTCTTGAGCAGCAAATAATCACCCTTATAATAAAAATGATTAAATAATGATTTAACTATTTTGGTCCATATTGGCCAGCCCTCACTCATACACAGCTGTGTTAAACAAGATAAACTACTAAAACAACAGAAAAGTGTAATTTACACAAAGAAAGGTAGCAAGAAAACGATGCCAGATCGAACTTGAGTTTCACTTTCACTTTCCGGCCGAGCTAATACACAGGCTAAAGAGAGGTAAACATGGATAATCCATAGAGGTAAACTATTTACGGTGAAAGACAGAGGCCTACTTTAGAAATGAGAGGTGGATGTGATGTAGGCTACAGCTGTTTGAGCTAGACAGAACGGATCTTCCGCCAACCATTTTAACTTGCGTCTCCCAATTTTGCAGCCACGACTGACGATGCAGCCAGACGTCAACGTCTGCAGCTAACGTAAACATAACATGAGTTATATTAATGGTGGGGTCTCGCATTGTCAATTACTTAAAGAAAATCATACAAATACATGCTAATTAGGCGTTTTAGGTTACTGTGGGTGACAATTTCTCCACCAGCCTTAAATGTACCATCTGTAAATTTAATACCTACAGCAAATTTACGGTAAATTTAAGACCTTAATGTTAATTTCCCTGATTTCAATTTAAGACCTTTTAAGGAGCAGCGGGAACCCTGCAGTCATGCAAGTAGATAAACCCAAGTTCTCATGTGTGTTTTCACCTGGATCTCCTTGCGAGACTGGGCCACATCTTTCAGCATGTCGAGTCTATCTTTGTCCTGGCAGTTCATCATCAGCTTCTCCAGAGCTATAAGTCTGTCCATCACAGATGGTTCTGACAGGCTGAAAGAGATGCACACAAGCAAATCAAGGCAGAGAAAAAGTAGGTAGACAACAAGAAAGCAATGCTTGCATCTCAGATCCCAGAAGTCACAGCAGCTGATGGGAGCAATGCATAGAGTTTGATATGGCAGCTTTGGGCGGATGCACAGGCATTGTTTTCACAGTCAAACATCACAGTTGTAAGTCTGATAAATAATCAGTCTGTGTGGTTTTTAACCTCTGAAGTGCAGAGGGCGAAGAACCATCTTGTTCCGTTTTCCTCTCCTCTTTTTGCCTCTTCTGTGGCAGAGTGCCAGAACCGCATGCCTCATGGTTCTCTCTGGACCGCTTCACTGGAGATGGAGGCAGAAGGGAAATTAACAATTTAGTATTCAGCGCACTCAAGCAACATTGTATGTGGGATTCTCTAGTGAAAAGCAAATTCAGAAGAAGATGGCACAGCATCAGCTAAGAATGCACTGCCTAAATTAAAGCGAAGGAAGAGCAGCATCAGGAATGTATTTAACACAATGCATCTAATCAGCAAACGTAAATGTTAAAATTACATCCATCATGCCCAGAGACAGCTGGCTCTTTACTCTTAGTCATCATCCTCTGGGATGTGACACAGGTGCCCCCTATTGGCCTTCCTCTCCTCTGCCCGTTACATTTCTTTCTATACTTATAAAGCACTCTGAAAGAAAAAGCTATCAACTCAGTTTCCCCTCACCTGGCAGTACAGGCACAGCCACAGTTTCACGGGTGAAGGGCTTGTTCACAATGAGCTTGGATTTGGCAGCAAAGTTGAGTGCACTGAAGGTATCAAAATAGTATTTGTACTCTGGCGCAATGTTGGTGATCATGACGGCGTGTGCCGAGCCGCCCAGAGAGTCCTGTAGCAGCCGTGTCAGTTTACTGTCTCTGTATGGTACACGGACGGCAGTGCCGGAGTTAAGGGAGTCCACCACTTTGCTGAGAGTGAAGAGAGACAGGTTGATGGCACCACTCTCCTTCAGACGGATGCCCTGGTTGCCAGTGCGGCGGTTGTCCTCAGAACCAGCCAGATCTACCAAATACAGCTTTCCTGTCTGTTGTCTGTGGGGCAGTGCAAGCTGAGTTCGTACAACCTAGATCATTGAGATTAAGATTTGAAAAGGGGCAATAACAGAGGTCAGACATGATGCACAAACAGGTAGGAGAAGAAAGAAATGAATAGTTGTGAGGCAAGGCCAGGCAGCAAAAGCTTTCAGTTGATCATAAACATGGCACATTAATTATTCAGAGATACAAGGAAAGTAAGAATTTAGAAAAATAGGACAAAGTCAGTGAGAAAAAAGACAGGAGACACTTGTTTGTTTCTCTCGCAGAATCCTCCCAAAAAGCTCAGGGGGTGCTAATGGGAGTGTTACAAGAGAATTGATTTCAGCACCAGCTACCAAATCCTGGCCTACTGCTCAGAGGCCACAACCTGTTTAAGATGCTGTTCGACTATCCACTGGAGACCCACGCACAGGCAAGTTCAGTGAACAAAAGAGAGCAACTCTCAAAGAGAATTATAAAATGAACCGTTTTCTCAGAGTTAATCATACATATCAAACCTTGATGAGAAGGATAGCGTGGCTACGGCTGGAGCGCTGGTTTAGTTTGGTAGAAGCTGTAGTACGATTGAGGCTGGCAGGGACAAAGTGTTTGTCAAAATCTGAGAAGGAGGAGATTGTTGTGTGAGTGAGGCCGGGGATAAGGATGTTCTTGTCCTTGTCCTCTCTGATAGGCAAATCCTGGGAGCCGGGTGATAGAAGATCTAGCACCTGAGAGAAAAGAAAGAACGAAGCATTGATGGACTGCACAACTTCAAACATAAAATGGCACTTGACTAAATAACCAACGAATCTTTAAAACTGCAAAAATATTTATAAAAAACCAAAACAAACAAACAAACAAAACTACTACTGGATGAAAGACAACCAACAATCGAAGCAGCACAGAGCTGTATGGAATAGGTGTTAAAGTTTTTAAAAGTGAAAAGTTTAGGGACATTGTTGGGGAGTACAGTTATGAGAAGGGTTTTAATAAAATAAAAAAAGGAGTGGTTATAGAATAGAGAGATGAGCAGTCGAGATGAAGAACTCTGTGCTGATTTATGGAATGTATTAGTAGTTGGACAACTGAGGCTGGTTTTGACTTCGTCATTTACATGATCAATAGTTTGGTTTCCATAAAAATAATGGAAACTCCCTTTGGGCTGGACTTTTTCACTTTGCAAATTTATTACATGCACAAAAATATATATATATATATATATATATATATATATATATATATCTCTCAATAAAGGAGAGGGAAAAGCCAAGAAGCATATGACTTCTTTAAACAAGGTCTTTTGAACTACTGGTGAAAACCTTCTCTCACTTCCTTGACTATGGACAGAAAGCAAGAAACTACTGGCTCACAGTAAACTGTATATAGTCAGTTCATACCTTCTCGTTGTAAATTTCCAAATAAGACATGCCAATGCTGTAGTTCCATCCTTCATCTTCATCCTTAGCTTTGACCAGATTGAAGACTTCACGGACAGCCCGGGGGATCACGCCTGGCTGCTCTGAACTGCCCAACATTGTGTGCGTCTTACCTATGAAAGAGCACGTGAAAAGTTAGCAGAGGGGAAAAAAATTAATTAGGAGACAGAGCAATCTACGTACAAATGAGTGAACTTTAAAAGCAGATTGTCTCAAAGACAAAAACAGGCCTCAAGTGCTTAACAAAACATCAAAATGTATATAATCTGATAAATTCAGAATATAAATTGTAGGGGTTCACACATGTAAGCCCATCTCAAATCCAACTTTTCACATACATTTATACTATAAGTGTTTAGTGGAAATTGGACTGAATGTAACTTCATTACGGTCCATAATTTGCAAATGTAATAGCATACCAGCTCCTGTTGGTCCATAGGTAAAGACACTGGCATTTTGTCCTTTCAGTATGTGTGGTAGAATGGGCTTCACTGATGAGAGGAAAACCTCTTGCTGTGTTGTTTGTTCACCATGAAAAACATCGAAGCTGAAACAACATCCACAACACTTAGATTTTATTGTTAGACAATAATTAGATATATTAACAATACATCATTCAGAAATTATAGGAGTTCAATTATGCTGAGGACACTGACTGGTATTTGACCGATTCTGTAGCATTCCTCCAGTTAACTATCTCCAGGTTCTTTGAGTCCAAGCCTCTGACACAGGGTCCTTCGCCTTTCTCATCTTGATTGCCCATATAGGGCCGCAGACGAACCGCTACCCGAACCGTGGACGTCTTCTTGTTTCCTCCATCTGGTAAGGCAACACGCTGAGCCATGTTTGAGCTCTTAAAAACAAAGGCCTGGATAAAAACATTAGCCAAGTTAGCAGAGCATAACGTTTAAGTGCGTAAAATAGCAGTTTAATAACAGACGAGCTTAAGGTTAGATTTAAATTACATTTCGATTTCCCCCAAACAAGCATTGTAGTAGTGAACGATAGTTTATTAACGATGGCCTTAAGACACGTTAACACATATTTAACAAGCTAATTTAGCTACTGTCAGGCTAAAGCTAACGTTACTTCTCAAACTAACGTTACCAATATCAGTTACTCCGTTAACGAGTGTTTCACATTACTAATGTTTGGTTAGTACTTACCGATATTGTTTTTGGACACCTTCTAGAAAACTTTTGCTATCCTCAAAACTTCACTTTCTGCAACATTGCGAACACCGTCTTTTAACAATGGCGGTCGAGCCTACACCTAACCGAACACTTTTCAAACGAGGAGCGCTGCAACCGGAAACGGCAATTAACCAATCAGAAACACTGGCGCCTATTTGACGTCTACCGTCCTTATTTAGAATATGTACTCATTGAAACCGAATATAGAAGTCAACAATATGCTATATAACCATATATAAACATTATTACACATTTTAAAATAAGCAAGTAGCGTGAATAGAGAGGCAAAATATGTTTGTTAAAATTCCGCCCGTTGTGCACTCAGCCCTGTTTGCGATTGCGCAATGCGCAGGAAGTCGTGCCAACAGTAGATCTCCACCGCACACACCGGAACTGGTGTCTGTTATCCGCGCAGTCGGTGGATTATCCATGTGATGTTTAATCGGTGGGAATGCCCAGTGTAGCAGAACCTAACATAACGTCACACACACAGTTCTTCTAGTTCAAAATGGCGCTATGTTTATGTCTCTACATAATCGTGTATTATCCCTAGCAAGTCTCATGGAGCGCTTTGGTGATTTTATTCACTGGGAAAGATAATTGGAAGTAACATTTCGCTACAACGCCAGCGACCCACGATAATCCGGACATTCGGTAATGACAATTTAAGGCACGTATGTTATCTAATTGTACTTTACTGTTTAGAAATAGCAGACTGTTAACTTAGGCCTGGCGTTAGCTAGCTAGTTAAGTCAAATAAGGACAAGATTACGTTTAATTGTGGTGTTGTCTGCTCAGCAAAGTTAACTGCTATCGTTACCTGTTAAACGTTATAGGTATGACATTACTCTTGGCTAACGTTAGCTCTCTTACCTCACATGCCTTTGGTTAACTTACTTGTAACTAAAATGTCTTTTTTTTTCATAATGCTCCTGTTTGACAGATCTGTGGTTATAAAGTTCACCAGCAGCAGCAGGAAGGATGCAGGCTGAGGCCACAGACTCTTCACTGAGAGAGGGCTTAGAGGCTCTGGGTGTGAAGGACACAGAAAAACCTGCAGCTGGCAAAGAGGAGCAAGACGGCAACACAGAGCAACAGGACACGGAGATGACTGCTGCCACAGAGGAGGACTCAACAAACAAGGATGAAAAGGGTAACTCCATTAAGAAACAAATAGTCAAAGAGGGAAATTTTTAATCTTGAAAGCACACATAGTAGGCAAGAAGTTTTAGAAATAGCGAAAAGTTCCCTATACAGATGAACTGATTAATATCTGACAAAAAACAGAATGAGTAATGTAGGGAAGAAAAGTAAGGGATTAATGCTAAATGTTAAGAAGTCTATCATTGCATTTAAGTAACATTTAAGTAAGTATGCAGGTCAGGTATAAGATGTGTGTTAAAGTCAAGGAAAGAGGTGGAAAGAGTAGACAATATAGGACAATGGGATTGCTGCATAAAAATTATGTATAAGCAATTTTACAGTAGGTAAATATCAATGAGGTGTAAGTTAGATATTTCTAACTGAGGCCTTTCATTCAACATTAACTGTTTAAGAAGTATTTTTTACTAAAAAAATAAAACAGAATAGAAGTAAAAACTGACAATTGTTTTGATGTAAGGAAGTATTACTCAGTATTTGGCACAAGTCTCCTTAGAATTAAAAGTTTATCTAATTTTGGTACACTACTAAACATCACATATGAAGTATTCCTTCAGTTAAATCCTCCTGGTTTCTTACTTTTGAGCATATGAATTTGTTCAAATGATATGTAATAATTCTTGTTTTGACTTTTGTTTTCTTTCACCAATAGTTTTGAATTATTTGTTAGTTTTTATCTAATATTTGACATGTAATATATGTAATAATGTACAGAGTTGTATATGCAAGTACCACAATTATCTACTACTACTTGATATCAGAATCCGAATCAGAAGGAGCTTTATTGTCAAGTAGTGTTTTACACATACGAGGAATTTGCTGTGATGATAAGGTGCTACACGTAGACAAACACACAGCTGACATAAATAAATGTAGAAATATATAAATATGGAATGGAAGAACAATGTTGCAGATATATATATGTGCATTATTCTGGGTCTGTGCCATGCAGAAGTAACGTATCGGAAGATAATATTGTGTACATATAAATATATAAACTGACAACATATAAATATACAACAACAAAGATCTACAATCAACAACAAATATGTGCAACGTGCCAGGTCTGTGCCTGACAAGAGATGAAACAGTATTTACATGTGCAGAGACATTTGTATCATTTGCAAGGGGGGAGTGTCAGTGGGGGACCCGGGCCTTATTAATGAGGCTGGTTGCAGACGGGTAGAAGCTGTTTTTGTGGTGAGAGGTTTTGGTCCTGATGGACCGCTGCCTCCTGCCAGAGGGGAGAGTCTGAAACAGTTTGTGTCCGTGGTGGGAGGAGTCAGCTGCAATCTTTCCTGCACGCCTCAGAGTCCTGGAGGCGTGCAGGTCCAGAAGAGAAGGAAGATTGCAGCCAATCACCTTCTCTGCAGAGCGAGCGATACGCTGCAGCCCGCCCTTGTCCCTGGCAGTGGCAGCAGTGTACCAGATGGTGATGGAGGAGGTGAGGATGGACTCAATGATGGCGGTGTAGAAGTGCACCATCATTGTCTCTGGAAGGCTGAACTTCTTCAGCTGCCGCAGGAAGTACATCCTCTGCAGGGCCTTTTTGATGATGGAGGTGATGTTCAGTTCCCACTTGAGGTCCTGGGAGATGATGGTGCCCAGGAAGCGGAAGGAGTCCAGAGTGGTGACAGGGGAGTCACACAGGATGATGGGGGAGGGTGGGGCTGTGCTCCTTCTAAAATCCACAACCATCTCCACTGTCTTCTGAGCATTGAGCTCCAGACTGTTCTGGCTGCATCAGGTCACCAGATGGTCAATCTCCCACCTGTAGGAGGACTCATCCCCACCTGAGATGAGCCCAATGAGGGTGGTGTCGTCCGCAAACTTCAGGAGCTTGACAGACTGGTGACTGGAGGATCTGGTGTTGATGGTCCTGGAATCAGAGACATGTTTTCCCAGCTTCCTGTCCGTCAGGAAGTCTGTGATCCACTTGCAGGTGGAGTCAGGCACGCTCAGCTGGGAGAGCTTGTCCTGCAGCAGGGCCGGGATGATGGTGTTGAAAGCAGAGCTGAAATCTACAAACAGGATCCTGGCGTGGGTTCCTGGGGAGTCCAGGTGCTGGAGGATGAAGTGAATGGCCACGTTTACTGCATCATCTACAGACCTGTTGGCTCTGTTGGCAAACTGCAGGGGGTCCAGGAGTGGGTCTATGATGGATTGTAGGTGGGACAACACAAGGCGTTCAAAGGACTTCATAACCACAGAGGTCAGGGCGACGGGTCTGTAGTCGTTTAGTCCTGTAGTCCTTGGTTAAATATACAGTGCCTTGCGAAAGTATTCGGCCCCCTTGAACTTTTCGACCTTTTGCCACATTTCAGGCTTCAAACATGATATAAAACTGTAATTTTTTGTGAAGAATCAACAACAAGTGGGACACAATTATGAAGTGGAACGAAATTTATTGGATATTTCAAACCTTTTTAACAAATAAAAAAACTGAAAAATTGGGCAAAATTATTCAGCCCCTTTAATTTCAGTGCAGCAAACTCTCTCCAGAAGTTCAGTGAGGATCTCTGAATGATCCAATGTTGACCTAAATGACTAGTGATAATAAATAGAATCCACCTGTGTGAAATCAAGTCTCTGTATAAATGCACCTGCTCTGTGATAGTCTCAGAGGTCCGTTTAAAGCGCAGAGAGCATCATGAAGAACAAGGAACACACCAGGCAGGTCCGAGATACTGTTGTGGAGAAGTTTAAAACCGGATTTGGATACAAAAAGATTTCCCAAGCTTTAAACATCCCAAAGAGCACTGTGCAAGCGATAATATTGAAATGGAAGGAGTATCAGACCACTGCAAATCTACGAAGACCCGGCCGTCCCTCTAAACTTTCAGCTCATACAAGGAGAAGACTGATCAGAGATGCAGCCAAGAGGCCCATGATCACTCTGGATGAACTGCAGAGATCTACAGCTGACTCTGTCCATAGGACAACAATCAGTCGTATACTGCACAAATCTGGCCTTTATGGAAGAGTGGCAAGAAGAAAGCCATTTCTTAAAGATATCCATAAAAAGTCTCGTTTAAAGTTTGCCACAAGCCACCTGGGAGACACACCAAACATGTGGAAGAAGGTGCTCTGGTCAGATGAAACCAAAATCAAACCTTTTGGCAACAATGCAAAACGTTATGTTTGGCGTAAAGGCAACACAGCTCATCACCCTGAACACACCATCCCCACTGTCAAACATGGCAGCATCATGGTTTGGGCCTGCTTTTCTTCAGCAGGGACAGGGAAGATGGTTAAAATTGATGGGAAGATGGATGGAGCCAAATACAGGACCATTCTGGAAGAAAACCTGATGGAGTCTGCAAAAGACCTGAGACTGGGATGGAGATTTGTCTTCCAACAAGACAATGATCCAAAACATAAAGCAAAATCTACACTGGAATGGTTTACAAATAAACATGTCCAGGTGTTAGACTGGCCAAGTCAAAGTCCAGACCTGAATCTGTGGAAAGAACTGAAAACTACTTTTCACAAACGCTCTCCATCCAACCTCACTGAGCTCGAGCTGTTTTGCAAGGAGGAATGGGCAAAAATTCTCTCGATGTGCAAAACTGAGAGAGACGTACCCCAAGCGACTTACAGCTGTAATCGCAGCAAAAGGTGGTGATACAAAGTATTAACTTAAGGGGGCGTTCCACTTCATGATTGTGTCCCACTTGTTGTTGGTTCTTCACAAAAAATTAGTTTTATATTTTTGTTTGAAGCCTGCAATGTGGCAAAAGGTTGAAAAGTTCAAGGGGGCCGAATACTTTCGCAAGGCACTGTACCTAGTACTAAACAGTCATCTACATTTAATGTAATACTGAAGTGCTATAAGTCAGTATAATGCACAATTGTCCTTTCACTCAAGAGCTTTTGTTAAACTGACTATATGTGTGTTTCCTGCCTTTTCAGATGGAGACACAGATGCAGTGGAAGGAGAGGCCCACAAGGATGACCCTCAGTCAGA